GCGGATCTTCCATTGCCTGATGCGAGCCCAACTTATCAATATCAAGATTATATGACATAATGAACTCACTGATCACCGCTGCCTGTAATCTGTGAGACACCGCATCCTCCGTTGAGAAAAGGAAGATAGCGGTGAAGGGCTGCGCCGCCCTCAACAGCTGCGGGTATCCTAGCAGCAACGCGGTCATCACACCCTTAACTCTTGTGGCCTGTAGTGCTTGTCGTATCATTCATGGGCTTCTTGGTTGCGCGCAAAACACTGTTTCGCTACTCTGGGGCTTGTGCGCCTGCTCCGCGCGTGACAATGCGACCTCACTGCTCATGAGAAGGGTATGGTATATGTCAGAAGAACATAACTTACGCAAGGACGTGTATGGCGTCGACGCGTTGCCCGTTGACTGACACCGCCGACATAGGCTGACGCAGCGCGGTGGCGACGTGGAACAAGGAGGGATGTTCGGGCGCTTGTTACCATCGGCCGTGCCATCATTCGTTAATTTAGGGCAGACATTCCCGTACTTGAGCAAGTGAAGAGTATACCACCTTCGGACAGTACTTCAAGCTTCAAGTGTCATAATCAAAATTTTGTATTACTATACTATTACACAGATGCCCTCAAAGTAAGAAACGATTTTCTTATCCCTGTCTTACTTGCTCCAGGGGCCCCCCTCTCCCATCCCTCGCCTTATATACCTGTCGACGGCCCCTATTTCGTCATTCTCCTTGATTGGGCCCAATCGTTGCTTCCGCTCTCCTTTGCTTACGCCGCGCGCAGCGCGGCTATGCTGCAGCCCTGAAATCGAAACAGCAAGTGAAATCGAAAATTTTGAGCTTAAATTTCCCGCCCGCAGAACCACATCCACGAGGACAGCAGTCGCGGAGCGCAGCGAAGCGGCCTCTTGTACTATCTAGTTTCATTCACTAATGTTGTAAGCATATGTTTTACATACAAATCTAGTCTATGGCGCAAGAAATTAGCCAGAGTTAGGTGGTGCATATGAGCAGCTGCTAAGTGCTACCAGGCTCTCCTGAGCCTCGCGCATGCACTAAGCGGCAAGCGCAGACGCGGTGGCTGGTGGTAGTAGACGCCCCTGCTACGCAGCAAGACGCTGTTTCCTGATGCTACTCGTGCAACTTCAAGGGTTTACTAAAGTAAGGTTCAATGCAATGAGTCTCAGCTCTGTGATAATAGTATGGCAACTCAAGCAGATATATAGATATTTACCCGTTGACTGTGAAGTTCGCGACTCCGGCTCTCCTACCAACTCCGAGGCGCGATCGTGAGGCTATCGCCTGGCCTTAGGTGATCCTACGCAACGCCATGTGGTTGACCTCGTGAGTGAGGGCTGGCTCAGCCCCTCTGAAGGCCTTCGGGGAAGGAAGCATTCGTATGAAAGAGTTCAGATCTGCGGAGCGGAGGCTTTCGGAGAAATATCGGATGTTAGGGGGCCGAGCACTGTTGATATAAAATCGGAGCTCACTCTCTCAACAGATGACTCAAACCTCAACTTCCTATGCATGCTGGTCAGAGGGAGCATCCTCTTCACGAGATACGTCATGAGGCTGTCCGACCACCCGGCCTTCCACCTCCAAGTCACGGTCCGGATCGTCGGGTGTGCCGACAAGTAGACATCGAGGTCGCCCCACTGGTACGCGTGCAGCGTTCCAAGCTCTGTATCCTTCGTCGCACTTCCGACAAGTTCAAAGGAGACGTTGTGAAACGCGGTCGAGGTGACCGTCCGGATGATCTCGTCGACCTGCTGTCCTGCGGCTACGAAGTGTATCGAGTTCTGCTGAGTATCCTGTCGCGGCAGATAGAGGAGCATCGTGAGATGAAGGTTCTCCAGCTGCGAGCACGAGCCGAGCTGGAAACGCGCGGAGGTCAGCAGCATGGAGCCTAAACGTCCGTGGGTTCAGTAGCTTGTCAGCACTTAGGCGCGATATACCTACGCTGGTAAATGTAAGTGGATAGCTTGTGAGACGACAGATCCAGGCTGATGCGCCGCAGGGTGCCGCTGGCGGCCTCGATTATCTGGCCGATGACAGTGTGGTCCTCGTCTGCAGTGGTCACGACAGCCGAGAAGGACTGGAGCGACTGCATTGTCTGTGTATTTCGCAAGTAGTCCAGTACGTATCGGTTCGTCTCGTGCGACCTGAGGTGACAAGACTCGAGACGCAGGTTGGCCGGCAGCGTGAGAGGCGTAGCAAAGGGCGAGAACCGGTCGAAGGATTCCAGTCGTCCGACCATCCCGCCGTTGAAGGTGAACTCTCGGACAAAAGGCAACCAGTGAAAGATACTTGTGATGTCGGGCAAAGCATGAGAGTCGCGGTACGTGAGTTCGAGTGTTCGGATCTGAGGAAAACGAGGCCACAACGGCATGTCCTGGCCGCGTTCTCTGATCCAGCGAACATTGGTGAAGCGAAGAGCTTTGATGTCGGGACAGCAACTGATTAGCTGCGCCAGGTATTCAACAGGAAGACTAGTAAGCAAGGTTGTTTGGCGGTTTTGATTGCGAAAGTGCAGCTCCCTAACGAGCGACTTGAGTGGCCACAGGTCGTGCTGGAGGAATGGAAGAAGGCACGCGCCATCTTTGTCGGAAGTGGTTAGAATTACGGTTTCGAACATGTAACGCCGCGCGCAAGACCACCATTGCCTGCAGACGAGCGAGCAGGTTTTGAGAGATGGCTTGTCGTCTACGAGATATCGCATACACATGTCGATGAGTTCTGGTGGAATTGTGAATGCATTGGGCGTCTTTGCAGACTGGCGAGGACGTCCTGCGCTGGAAAGTGCGAGAGTGAGCAGCAAACCGATAGCATGGTGGACGAACATGGCGGTGATGCGAGAAGTTGCAGATGTCCAGCAACAACCGCCACTCGCCACATGTTCCCTGGGCGCCTTACAGCAACGAGCAATTTAGGCAATTCCAATCATTCCATCAAAACACTACATGATGAGAGGCGGGAATATCGCAGCCTCGTCCTCTGGCGAACCATCCACCTTCACATGAACGCCTGCGCCCGTCGGAACGCATCCGTCGCCAAAAGCTTTCTCGAGTGCGATCTTGACACCAAATCCAGAACAGTGCATCGGCAAGATATACGTTGGAGAGGGCCGAAGCTTGTTAGCAAAGAAGTTGACTGTGGGCTCGATACGATCTGCGAGCTCAGGCCCGCCCAAGTGTAGACCACCGACAATCTGTACGAATCAGCGCAAGTCTACGCTGGGAATACGGGTAGACATTACCATGTGTATCGGCCTCTTAAACCTGTTGACTGCATCTGTAGCGACGTTTACGATTCCAGCGTGGGAACACCTAAATGCAAGGTTCGAGTCGGCAGGTTGTGGCGCGACAGTACGACTATCACTCACGAGGAGAAAATCACCAGGCCCTTGCCAACCACGTCGACAGCTGCATACCGCTCGTCCATGATGTGCTAAGGGGCAACGTTCATCATGTGCTATCAGACGAAGCCGCAGAGATCTTACCGCCTCAGGCACCCATTGTCCTCCAGCACCAGCCTCACCCAACTTCCACCTCACCCCACCAGCGATTCCCTGCTCAAACTCGGTCAGGCGAGGGATCTCTCCGCTCACGAAGACAGTTCCATCTGCGACAACGTGCCCCTCGGCATGCTTTTCAACCACACCGCCCTCCTTCTCAACTTCTTCAAATGTCGGATCTTCCGCCAGCCGGCAGAAGATCTCACCCTGGGGTGCGATGCCACGAGCGATAGGCCTGTCAGGGTGCAGGTCGACGACACACTGTCCATGCTCGTCCTGCGCCGCCGCCTTGCGCATGCGCAGAAACGCGAGGATGCCGCCGCTGTGGTCCGAATGCCAGTGCGAGAGGACGACACGCGAGACGCGCTCGACGGGGACGCTGAGCGCCGCGACGTTGCGCGTGATGCTCTTCGACTCGGGACCGGCATCGAAGAGCGTGTAGTGCGACTTGGGCTCGCCCTCCGCTTTGGTTTCCTGCGAACATATATGCGTAAATTCTCGCATAAAGCACGATGGCTGTTTTGCCCACAATGAGAGCTGCAAAGCCATGGGCGCCTGAAGACGGACGTCAGACTCGTCTGGACGATGATAAAGTACCAATCGAGGCACATACCGCAGCAGTAATTCTCGAAATCGATGAAGGGAGCATTCGTAACCGGGTCAATGGGCGGGTTGTTCTCTGTCACTTGATAGCGTAGCTCCTGGGTGAAGCCCGGAGGCAATTTCGTGAACCTGCACAATGCTCAGTGGTTTGGCTATGTGGATGCGACATTGTCGCCGACCATTCTATGCTGTTATCTACTATGAAAGTAATGACGAGCTCGTTGACACGCTTGAGGCTCATCATAGACGAGGACACGGATACAACATCTGCGTTCGGATGAAATTGACGGTATATTGAGTCAGCTTCAAATGACGTAACACCATTGATCGGTGAGGATGCGGCTTCCATGACAATGCATCCCGATACTGGAGCAAATCACAAGGTGCATATCGTATGTCTGAACTTGATGAGCATGATGCATTACAACAAGTACAGAGAGTACAGAGGGGCGATACCCAAATTGCTGATGATAGCAATTGTCCGCAAAGTCTACACGGCCGAAAACAACTGAATAATTGGAGCGCAATAAGAAGATTAAGCAGCTTGTCTGTAGAAGATACGTGAGCAAAGCCTCCGAGAATGAGTACGAAAAGAACGCACGCCATCCCACCATAGCCCATACTAGCACCTGACTCGGCCAGCTTACGCTGACGGAATGCCTTTCAAAACAAATCAGCGCGCGCTCGGGAAGGAGGACAGGCGACTCACTCGGCGGTACTTGGTACGCTCGTATGTGACGAGCCCAACGACAATCAAAGCAATACCGGAGATACCCCCAAAGACCGCGAGACCAATTGGGAGAACAGAGAGTGTCTTGCCAGGAATTACGAACGCGGGGGTGCTAGATGCCGCAGTGTCCGCCGCGACTGTGCCCGAGGCAGCAGCGGAAGAGGAAGAAGCGGAGGGGTCAGGGTCGCCGCCAGCGGCATTCGCTGGGACCGCAGAGGGTCCCACAGGTGTTGCAGTAGCAGATCCTGAGAGGGAGGCCGCAACGGCGGTCGCGGAACCGGCGCTGGGGGCGTTCACAGATGGGAGAGCAGATGCTGCAATGGAAGAGACACCCTAAAGATAGTAAGGTTGGCAAAAACATGGAATGGCATGATCATCGGCTGTACGCACGTTAGCAACAGCTCCTGATTCCGCAGCTGTAGAAGAAGCGCCGCTCGCAGCAGACTGAGATGCTGAGGGCGTGGCCGATGCAGATGCAGAAGCCGCGGACACAGTGGGGACGGCGGTTACAGTAGAGATTCCCTGCAACGATGAAACTTTGAGATATGAGACTTGCTGAGCAAAATTTGATACTCACGTTCACCACACCGCTAGACTCGCTGGCGGCTGTGGCTGAAGCAGATGCGGCAGATGAGACCGAGGGAGATGCGGTAACGATGTCAGTGGGTTGGGCAACAGAGGATGCGGATGGATCTAGTCACAACAAACAGAGGTCGTACACGTCAGAGTACATTCGAAACCTGTGTCACGCCACCACATACCTGTACTAGCAGCAGTGGTGGTAGCGGACGGGGTAGCAGACGCGCTCGCGGGTACGGAAGCTGAGGCAGAGTCCGAAGCAGTTGGGGAGGGAGCGGGACTCTGACCAGATGCAGCTATACCTGTCGATACGGCCGACGCGCTCGCGCCTGAAGCGATCGGGGAAGAAGCGGGGATCTGGCTAGGTGCAGAAGCTGACTCCGTCGATGCGACCGAAACACTCGCGCCTGAGGCGGGCGGTGTGTCCCCCGAGGCAGCGCTGGAGTCCGTGCTGGCCGGCGCGGCGGTTGCAGACGCAGTCGTCGCAGTAACTCCGTTACTGGAAGAGCTACCCCCAGAGCCGATGGTTGCAAGAGTGCACGCCTTCTCTTCCTTGATGAGCGGTGTACCGTTTGTGTCTGTAAACGGCGTCATGGTAATGGTACATGTCTCTTGCATTGGGCCGGCGGACCTACGACAAATAAATACATTAATGCATTCAGAAAACTGCGGCGACGTACGTTTGTAATATATCCTGCGTCTGAACAGTTACAGGCTGCGAGAGATTGTTGCCATTCTGGCGGACGACCAAAGTACGAGACTGGCGTGCTGGGGTTGGGAGAGCATTCGAAAGGCCCGCAAACACGCTGAAGAGCTGAAGAAAGAGAATAAGTGCTGCCGATGGACCGAGCATCGCTGTGAACATGGGCATGTAATTTCGCTGAAATCACTGGTGGATTGGACAAGAAGCGAGCGGAGACCCTGCTCCCAGTGGTCGACGAGCCTGAATGCGACGACGAAAAGGTTGGAAAGGAACGGAATGGCCCCCAGGGCAGAAAGAAAGGAGGTACAGTAGAACCACGGACAATGGCGACCAGAGGTAAAGGGCAGGCCACAGCCGAGGGTTATTCTGCTCGTATAGGCGTCTGTGTCAGAGCATTCCATCAAAAAGTTAATCAAGACCCGTAACCAATGCGTAACCATTTCTCGTGATGAGGTCTATGTCTGATTCTGCTGAGGTAAGCTAAGTTACTTACTCGTTAACAAACCCAGCTTACTCGGCACGCGGACGACGCAACCGGCACAAGTTCCGCCTGGAGACAATCAATAAACGTCTCTGTCAAATACCTGCACCTGTCTCCCGCGCGGCACGTATCAAACATGCAGGCTGTGGTCGATGCTATCTCGCAACGAGGCTGAAGTCGTCGGGCATACGTACATCGTATTACAGGCAGGTAATCCGGAAATGAAAGCGTCCCCGGATTCAAGTTATAATCTGCTTGGACGTGTCCTGCACTCTCGAAACAATTTCGTAAGTGTACATCTAGGCTGTTCCAGATCATGACGAGCCGTGTCTACGCACATCTGGGCGACGTTCTTCTCACAAAACTTCGTTGTCACCTTGCGACGCTTGGGCGCGTGTTTGTGCGACAATCGCATCTGGTGCGAGACTAGGATGGCTTTGTATGCTGGTTTCATGCCGCATTGTAGGAAGGTCTCCACCTTGTGCACTCCACTTTTTATCTCTCCACAAGAACACTTTCTTCACTAGCTCGTGCACAGTGGAAGCTCAAGTAGTTTGTCAACTACTCACCCCAAACATATCGCGCCATAGGATGTATGTGAAAGAGAATGGCAACATGTGTATTTATTGCTGTACGTTAAACCATGCGGGAAGACGCTCCCAAATCTCCTTGCGCCGTTTTTGAAGTAAATTCGTTAGTAGCACTCTGCATGCATCGCACAATCCCCGCTCCGCCACATAGCATTTCAAATGTTCCAGAGCACCAAGGCAGTCAATGTCCGCGAAGTCGATTTTGTTTAGAACAACCCCCATGAGATTTCGTTCCATCATCTGCATTGTCTGCCTGCAGTTTGCTTTGCCGTCCATCCCAGCCTGGTTGCGGGGATGCCGTGCCTGGAAGGTCGAGTGGATTGACGCTTCCTCCAGAAGGGTGTCAAGGCTCATCTTGAAGTTGTGCAAGAGATACTCCTTCCCAATCAGGAATCGACGCAGGGTCTCTGCGTCCAAGAGCCTCCACCGCGCTGCGGGAAGGTGTTCCACGCCATCACGATCGCCTTCATAGCGCTCGAATTCGCCGTACTCATGATCTAGGCGAGTGAAGGAAAGATGGTAAAACGCAGAGGGAAGGATGGATGGCACGTCGTGCTTCAAGGCGAAAGCGACTGCCGATGCCGGCTCCGGGAACATCGCGCCAAAGAGCTCGAAATGCTCGTATTCGTGCTGGTCCTGAGCAGCTTGTATGTATGTGCGGCGGGCGTCCCATAGTTCTAATGTGATCGGCCATTGACTCTTCATTTTACCCACGATGGTTTCCCAGATTTGCCCCACCATGTACTTCCTGGAGATGTCCGCGAGGCCTACTACAAGAGCGGCCAGCTCTGCAGGTGCAGTTGCGTCCAGGAGACGGAACAGCGCCCTGATAGTGTTGCTCAGCACTAAAAGAACACTTGAGGGGGCAGGTAAACGCACACGGGGCTATAGATAACCTCGATGAGCATCGCAAGGTCCTCGCCTCGGTCTGGCATGCATAGCACCGGGACCCCATCATAGCTTTCTTGCGCTTTCTCACCTGAAACGACCTCGAACATGCCTCGAAAGACCTCAGAATGTCGCGAAAGAAACAACTTGTCCACACGGAAGACGACGAGAGTCAGAGGTGTTGCCGTTTCGAGCTTCGCGCTGAGGACGATATCCCCGTCGGGATAGTACAGCTCCGCATGCCTCAATATCGGGATATTCGGGTCCATCGCGCACTGCCTCTTCTCAGACTCTGCTTAACACAGATTGATAAGACTTCCAACATACCCGGTTCCAACGGCAAACTTGAGAACTAGTACTGGGACTATCGCGGCCGTAGTGGTATGGGACAGGGCAGCAAAGCGAGCTTCCACGTAGCTCAGCGAATGTCTCAAAACGCTTAGCCTGATATCCCGTTTGATGGAGCTCCGACAATTTGCGCGTTGCTACAGATGGCCCAGCGAATCTACTATTCCGCGCATTAGACGCCATCCTCGTGGCGTTCGGTGGGTACAGCATGACGTATAAGCGGATTTCGACATAGCGTTGGAGGTATGCCTCTTTAGCTATATGGATGGAACTCCGCCTGCCATGGTCAGCACTTAGTACAACACGGCGGTAAAGGCTTATGCGGCACAAGAGATAATCGGCGCGACAAGTAGATGGTCCATCTAATCAAGATACTTGAGATTAACAGTACTTTTGCAAGTGCTATCGCATCCCTCCTTCCACAGCCTTGTATGTCTTTCCATCCCTCACGCGATGCCGTTTGCGCAGGCTCGTCAGGTAGTCAACCGTCGCAGCAACCACGGGCGCGCCCCAGCGCTCAAACGCCATGGACAGCACCACATTGACAACAACAACAAGGAGCAGTGTAGCGCGCCCCGAAGTCGGCATGTCGGTGAGCTCCAGGATAGATGACAGGAAGCCCGGTGGGAAGAGGAGTACGAGAGCGTTGAAGAGCGACAGTGAGACGATAGAGAACATAAGCAGACCTGTAGGAGTTGTGAGTGAATATCCTTGCAGTTAGTCACGCAAGACTGACTATTCGTCCACATGGGCTGTCGGTATGGCGGACCTATACTGAAGACGGCCGCAACTAGGATGTATTGGAAGCACGAAACCAAAAACAGTGCAGAATTCTCATAATTCCTCGCCGCGAGTTTGCCCTCGTCGGTCTCGGGGTTGTTGAGCACCGGGGGAGTGTACCTGTTATTATGCGAAAATTAGCGAGAGAGGGGTATAGTGATAGGAAATTCGCCCACCATGGCTGGCGTCGAACCCAGAAGTACGTCCAGAACTGGACAACGCTTGTGATGATAACCTGGCCAATGATACTTGACAGAACTTTCTTCGAAACCAAGCTCGCCGTAGGACCCTTCGGATGCAGCTTCGGATACGGAAGTGTGCGGCCCACTGTAATAGCTTCATTCAGTCAAATTCGGATACTGCGACTTTCCCCCACTTACTCGTGACAGCGATAGGTATGATGATAAACAAATCGATATAGAGGAACTAGAGATAACGATGTCAGCATTGCGGAAGCCGTACGATCAATGTCGACGTGCCTGAAAGTCTCCTAGGGACGAAGCAAAGGAGTAGAGCAACGTGATAGTTGTGAACTGTATCAAAGAATACAGCGCCCTGAGGAAGTGGAGGGATCAGCGAAGGCAGCATTACAGACAAACGAGGAAACCATACATGTACTTGAAACAGCTGAAACTTGTCACTAACGCAGCACGACCCTCCTTGATGACCTCCAGCACGCAGCTGATGTCTGGGGTGCGACTGGTGAATGGGGCAGCAACCGATGCTTCTGCCTCCGACAGCGACAGTCCGACATCCGCTGCCTTGAGAGCTGCACAATCGTTCGCTCCGTCGCCGCACATCAGAACCGTGTAACCCAGGCCCTGGAGCCGTTCCACGACTTCGTTCTTCTCGTCTGGAGACATGCGGGCAAATATCTGCGCCTTCACCAGCATCTGCACAAGCCAGCCCGATTAATACTAGTAACATATCGAAATCAAGTCGCGCGCTTACTCGCTGAACTGTCTCCAGCGGGGCATGGTTGATCATCCAACGGAATACATCCCCTGTGACGACGAGAGCGTAATCGTGATAATCGACATGATCTGACTCGACCGTCCGATGTGCAGGAGGGGTCAGGGGTTTGAGGCTGTAGTCATCCAGCTTCCACGCCGGCTCGTCCATGCAGAACCATTCCAGCTTCGACATGGGTGTATGCGGTCCGCCTACCACGAGGACCCCTCAGCAGGTGCTATAGATACTCGATCAAATGACACACCTCGAATGAAAGTTGGAGTGAAGACATGGACGGCGGGGTTCACCATGCTACACTCGCGGGCGACGCTGACAGCAGTCAAAGGATTGTCACCAGTGATCATGCGACATGCGAAATGAGCAGCCCGCAGAGCTTGGATGGCAGGAGTTGTCCCAGGCTTCAGCTTATTCTCGAAGATGATGAGGCCCAAAAACCTTAGGCCCGACTCTGCTTGCTCCCTGGAGAAGAATTAAGACTGATTCGCGTAGAAGAGAACAATCATTTTACCGCTTCATCTTTTGAGCCCTCAGCCATGATAAGCCCTCGATACTCTTGCCAGCCATGGCAATAACACGATATCCACGCTTGGTGTAGTACGATAGGAGGTCGTCGTAGTCATCTGGGACTACGGAGGGCGTCAGTCCTCGAGCGTTCAAACTGCTGGATAGACTTACAAGAGTCCTTCTCGCAGATATCGCCCATAACTTCGGGTGCACCCTTGACATACACTTCCATGGACGAACTCTTGAGCCTCTTGACGATAACACTCATCCGGCGAAGCGAAGAAACGAATTCAAAGGCACGAACAACACCAAGCTCAAGGAAGTGCGCATGCTACCGAGCCAAGATTAGTCTCTCAATGTTGCCTGGAAGACAGACTACTCACTCGGGTAGAACCTTTCAAGGCGTCCTCAACGCGGAACGAAGCTGATCCGGGCGGACGAACGACCGTCTGAACAAGAGCGGCAGGCCGGTCTCCACCAACACGACTCTTGACGACGCCGGTACCAGACACCTGGCCCTCCTCGAGCGTCCACTTCGTAAACTCGAACATTTTGACGTCCAGCGGGTCACCGATAATCTCACCGTCTACCTTCTTCAGCGAATGGCATGTCGCCAGGGCATACAAGAAGTTCGCCTTCTCGCTGCTCGCAGGCATGTCGCGAGCATCCTCGAGGAGCTCTCCGAAACGATGCACGTTGCGCTCTAGCGCACGCACGCCGAGGATATCGAGCCCGTCCTCGGTGAGTGTGCCGGTCTTGTCGAAACAGCAGACGTTGATGCGCCCGCCGACGTTAACGCGACTGGGAGAGATGCAGAAGATGCCTTGTTTGCGAAGGCGGCCGATGGCAAAGCTCGTTCCGATAGACAGTGTGGCGGGCAGCGCTGGAGGCACAACGACGGTGATGAGATCGAGGGCGCGAAGCATGATCGTGTGCCACTTGATCTGCAGGCCAAGTTAGCTACAACATCAGACAACCAGCGACATACTCACTCCGAGTCTGACAAACTGAAAAGCAGAAGCGCAGAAACCAAGACTGGCGAGGCCGGCAAGCACCAAGATGAAGCGAATTGAGTCGCGATAGAACTTGAATCCAATTGGCTTGGGAAACAGCATCGATCGAACGAGCGCGCCTTTCGTCGTATTGAAGCCTTGACATTACGGTTAACACGTCATGACCGCAAGATGAGCTGAGTTGTGCCTACCCGTACGCACGACTATAGCAACTGCAGGCAATCCCGTACTGCCATCAGCGGCCATGCCTCCTCTTATCCGGACGACCCGAGTACCAGCATACAAGAAACTCTTGTTGGTATCACCAGTAGGTTCCTTGCTATCCTTCCAACGCGCGAGGTCTTCGTCATTTATTGGCGCCTTGCTAACAGGAACGCTTTCCCCAGTTAACATGCTCTCATTAACGATAGCATCTCCTGAAAGTAGAAACATATCTGCCGGGAAGACATGTAAAGGCGGATCGTTGAGGTTCACAATGTCACCGGGTACCAGGTCTGCTGAATCAACCACTTGCCCTGGCACGACGCAATTGATTAGCCCAGGTGAAATACGATCTATATTTATTCTTACAGCTCCTATCTCGATAGACGTTGACATGGCAAGAGAACCTTGACATCTCGCGCATGCGGGTTATGGTTTTCTTCGTCTCGATCAGCGTCGTTAGGATGCTAATGGCAGAGATGAGGGCTATGCAAAAAGCATAATAGTAGTAATCGTCTAGGGACCACAGAATGATACTGGCGATTTGAAAGACGTAGAATGGATGAATAATCTGTGTACACATGAGGCCTTCGAGGATACTGGAGAAGGCATAAACGTACCTCTTCGATAAGCAGAGATATAGTCGATTTTCCCTCAATATCGATAACATTCGGGCCGAACAACGTCCAACGTTGCGTTTTGGTGCCGTCATCAAGGCCGACCTGGACGACTTGCTTGTTATTCCATGTAGAATCACGCCACGCCCTAGCAATCGGTTAGACCGAGATCTTGGATAATGGCTGTGCACTTACTTCACCATACTGAACAGCCCTGTCCGGGGATCGAGGGCAAAGCGTGCATATCGATAATCTACTACGAGTAAATGCTTCAATATGCCCGATGTCGCGCTACCGTTCTCTCCGGCGTGCGATGGTATTCGTGAAAGCGGCACTTCCGCTGGGAAGACAGTAGAGACGCGATATGGGTATTCAATTTTCCGTGTAGGAAATAAAGCAGTATCTCTGTAGGCAGACTTTCACACCATCATGGAGAAGTGTTATGCTAGAGAGTAGAATGACAAACCTCGATGACAATGAAGCCGTGTTCTATATCCTTGAATGCTTTCTCTTTCGCAACCCAACGCAACCAGAGACGAGGGAACCAATGCCCAAGTAAGCCAAGGATACCGAACGAGAGTACACAGCAAGCTCGCCAAAGGATCTGCCGAAGGCGCACAACTTCGTAGCCAACAAAGCGAATGTGCGCGTCTTCTTCCTCGACAAAAATCAGTTGTCGGCTCGGTAGCCCTGGAGGAGGCGGCTCGCTGAGGTCGAACTCGCCCATGTCTATACGAGACTCATCTCCAAAGATGGGGTCGCCAGTCATAACATGCAGAGCAAGACCGGGAGAAGGGGGCAAGGAGCCTCCTCCGATAGACCGAAAGTCGACAGAGTCACGATCAGCGCCGCGGATTGACTCATCTTCAGACTCGTCCTCTTCTTCGGAAGCGTAGCCCCAGCGCTCTTCATCGTCCGTGTCTATCGCGTAGTCGGAGCCGGCGTCCGAGCGGCGGCTGGAAGTTCGACGCAGCAGGCCTGAGCGTGATGACCTGCTAGAGATGGAAGGACGTCTGCTGCGAGGCGGAGATTCTGTCTGAGGTGCAGCCCTGGTGAATATTTGGGCAATATTTTCGAACACAGTCGGGCGTGGAGCGGGCGAGGTCGACTTGGGTCTTGGTTGTCTGAAGTGTCTTTCGCCCTCCTCATCTTCAGTGTACTGGTCTCCGTGCTCACCTTCGGACATGAGCGACGCGCGACTGTCCCTGCTCATACGCCTGCTCCTCGAACACGACCTGCCTTCATCCTCGCTTTGCCGTCGGCTCTGCGAAGGTCTGCGCCGTCCTTCACTGCTTCGACGCCCATGTTCTGACAGCGACATCCGTGATACGCTGCTTGGGTTCACCGAATGGCTCGGTCCATCGAAGATGTAGTTATCACCGGCAGCCTCATACTGCGAATCTCGCCGTGCTCGTCGGCCCGACTCGACAGCTTCCTGAATATCTATCGCGGAAGCACCCTCTGTGTAGTCGTAGGGCTCTGACGGCATCGACGCCGCCATGCTGGTCCTGAGGGCGTGGAGAGTCGGCGGAAGAGATGCAAGAGCAAAGTTCCCGACTCGTCGATCGAACCGACTAGCGTCATAATGCGGCAAGCGCTCATTAGTGGCCGTGACCCCGCAAACCGCACTCCGTCGGTGTCCGAAGCATTAATATTGTGGGCACACGTTCAAGCTACGCCTATGATGTCGCCGTAACCTGCAACATAACTTCTCAGTAACATGCTCACTTTCCGAAAGCTCTTCAAATTGCACTTTTAAGCAGCGCAATGAGTTCGGTAGCGGATGCGCCACAGCCTGGCTTGCAGAGGCACACTGTGTAGACTCGTCGGGTTCTGGCCACAGTATCTTTAAGCCATCGCCTCGCATGCCACCTCATCGTGACTTCAAACTGCTCGAAGACCGTGGGGAAAGGGGGAAACTACGATGGGAGGGCGTCGGAGCCGAAGTTTAGGGGTCGACTTCCCTATTCCCGATGTCCAAGACGTCCAAGATTCGCCTCGTCTTCCCGTTTCATACTGCGCCTCTAGCTCAAAGTTGTCACAGACCCCGAAGACTTTGACATGGATGAAGTCGAAGACTCAGGATTTTGCGAAGACACCATAAGGATTGGCAAGGTACCGTCAGACACTGGGCCTCCGTTGAACCGCGGCCAGCTCGATGCCAGCTTCCTCTCTCACCCCTAGTACATGAGTTCTTCCTCTGCCCAACCACACTCTCGTGGCCATCTTCTCCATGAGCTGCTGCACCAGGTATCCGAGTCTGAACTTGACTGGTTCTTCGAGCACGCTCTCCCTCCCCTCCACCCCCGTATCAACCTCACCAGAACTTATTTCAGGCTCAAGAAGAATGCTATCAATAAAGGCGGATACTGGTCGGTCTGGAGCTATTACCCCGTCTCGGCCGGGGCCGGTGGGGAGAACGGCTTGTATGGAAAGTTCGACACACTCGCCGAAAAAATCTGTGGTGCATGCAATATCACCGACGTCCCTCGCAATGTCAAATTCATCTGCATCCCCGACCGGTCTCCAGAGTCTAGGACGCGGCCGAATACCTCCAAGCCCGACTGTGTCGCTCTCCGTGCAGACGCCAAGTGCATGACCTCTGGCCTCGAACGGCCTCGTAGATTGAAGAAGCTGAGGTGGCTCGACATCGCAGTCCCTTCCGAGTTTAAGCTCAATGCTACGAACCCGCAGTATGCACGTGATGTAAGACCACTCTCCTGAAGAATGTAGCTTGATGTTAACACTGTTGCGCTATATAGAACCGGGCAAAAATTCTGTGGTCATTAGCGTACATCATGCGCGAGGATCCCCGCCGGCGGTTTGTTTACGGTTTTACCATCGAAGACGTAAATATGCGTTTGTGGTTCTGCAGCCGGTCAGACGTCATTGTCTCAAAGCCGTTCGATTTCATGAAGGTAAGCCGCGCCCGTCCCAAACTTGCCTGCGATGCTCACAGTGCTTTCTTCATAGAACCACGTTGCCACCATGAACTTTATCCTTAGCATCTGCTATGCTAGTTACGCTCAACTCGGCTGGGACGAAACCATCACTTTCGTCAAGCGGACCTCACGAAAACCATATTCCTTCCTCAAGATTGCTGTCAGAAACTTAGATGGCACGGCGACGTATTACCATACGAAGAGGGTTATCTCCAACATAGGAACCGATGCAGTCAGAGGACGTGGCACTCGTGTCTGGGAGGTCAGGAGGTTAGACGACAGGGGAAAGGAGCTTCCAACGCCGCTTGTGCTCAGAGATGGCTGGCGAGATGCAGACCGCCCGAGCGAAGGAACTATCTTGAATGCCATACGCGGCAATACCGACCTCAGCGAAGACATTCACGAGCTTCTGGAACAGCACTTCCTGCATGTTGAGGCTGAAGGCAATGTTTACGTTGGGGACATTCCAGATCACACCCGCGACGTCATGCTGAAAGGGCAGGCACTACCAGAGCAGCATGGCATGCCGCAGGTACCTGCAGAACTCAACGACCGGATCACGGTCGCCGCTGACTTTCAGGTACGACTCGGAAGCGCAACAGCGCCAGAAAGGCCAGAACTGGAGACACCTCCATTGTACAGTGGAAAGGTGCATTATCGCGTTGTGTACAGGGAGCTCGGAAAGACCCTCCGAGAGGTCAGTTCTATGAGTGAGGCCTTCGGTCATCTCTCGGGTGTCATCGAAGGTATGTACCCAGCCTCATCTTACAAGCTCTGCCGCGCATTCAGCTTGCTCACAGGAATTGCCGCTCTCTACGAGTGCGGCTGGATTCACCGCAACATCAGCATCGACAATGTGCTAGTCATCGATGGACAAGTCAAGATCTCAGACCTCGAGTATGCTAAGCCACTGGAAGACGACCAGCAGCCACACGGCATCCGTACAGTATGCAAATTCTTGTTGTTGTCCATGCAGAGCTGCCAGACTTATGTACACACAAGGGATCTATCTTCTTCGTGTCGACTGAAGTTGAAAACCACCGGTATCTACACCGTAACGCTCTCCGCGTTGACAAAATACCAGTGCTTGACGGCAACTGGATGAACAAGAAGCGCAAACAGGACCTGCAGCGTCTACTCTCTCGCACTCCGCCGCCGCCGGTGCCTTCTGTGAAGATCGTCATTCCCTTCCGGCACAACGTTCTCCATGATGCAGAGTCTGCACTCTGGCTGGGCTTTTATGTCGTACTGGTATGCGTATATGCCGTTCCTGAGGGCTCGACTATCGACCAAACCCGTATCGCGTATCAGAAGGCACAACACGAATCGGCTTACAAGCTTTTTTCATCAGGAAAAAGACTTAGGTCCATAATGCTACAGAGTGCTACAGGAGCATTTTGGAGCACTATGGGCCCAAGTCCTGTTTCCTGATGTTGTGATCGCACTTCCCGTGACCAAATTATGTGCACAGACTATGTGCTTCTAGAGAATGCTACACTCCTTCATCCTCGAGTCCAAAATGTTTTGGTGGAGATAGATACGATGAGGAAGTGGATAGTTGATGTTTATAGGGACATGGAGGCCAGCTTGGACAGGGCGCCCCATGCGCCGGACCCAGGGCAGCTCCGGGGTTTGTTTTTCCTTCTCAGCGATGGCTTTATGAAAATCTCCAATAAGTTGGAGAATGACGATATCAAGCTGGCAGAGAAATATACAGCACAGGTCGCAAGGCGCATAATCGTCTCAGGCAGCAAGTGAAGCAGACCATCCCACCGGGGCTTCAAGCGATCCAGCGGCCGGACAACGGCAATACCTATCCCACGAAGAAGAGGAAGACACAAAACGCTCCCCCAACATCCGCCGCTTCGGCCTCCACCCCTGCTGTCACTGTCGGGTCTCCTGTCGCATCCACCTCTACAGCGTCTGCCTCCGTCGCTGTAACACGCACACCGAGAGCGTCCGCGTCAAAGGCATCCTCTTCCGCGGCCACTAGTTCTAAGGCGTTCAGCTCGGTCCGTTGAAGACATTATGGACTGAAAGGTATGTTAGCCATTCATTGGATGCATGAGCCCCGCCGCTGACATGAGCTGCCGGTACGAAAGACTAGCACTCATGAATCGCTGTCGCTGCATAGCTATCCTATGGCTCCCCGCGCACATAATCAAATACCATCAAATCCCCGTGTTGTATCTCACTGTCTCTATAATTATAGCGTATGTCGTCAAAAGCCCGTGTGTCGAATTACGTTGATTCTATACCTATCAAAGCACCTAGTATATATAATAAATGCAGAACTCGCCCTTCCAGATATGCACCATGCAGCGCCCTAGATCCCCGCCTTGCCGGTTTTCCAGTCGCCAAACTCGTCGGAATACGCGTCCCCATCCTGTTCGGGGCGCGCGAGCGTCGCGTCCGAGGATGTCGATCCCCGAGGCGCCTCGTCGGCGCTGTCGTGATCCTCCATCATCCGTGCACGCTCGCCCTTGCCGCCGGCCCCGGCCCACGGCCGATCCGCGGCGTGCCGCTGTGTGGACGGGAAGCTGCCGTCCTCATCGTCGCTCGCGTCGCCGAGCTGCCAGGGCGCCGTGCTTCCGCCCTCCGCAGACAGAATACCCTCTTCCTCGTCGCCGACTCTGCTTCGTGCGCGGCGGCGGGTGTTTGGTGGCAGGGAGACCGTCGTCGTCGTGTCGTCTGTGGACCTGAAGCCAGGTGTCTTAGGCTGCGGATCAGGCTTCTTGTTCGTGAGCAGGACAACGCCGGAGATGAGGATGAGGATGGAGCAGAAAATCAGGAAGAGCGTCCAGGACTGGTAAGCGTCAACTTCATTATTGAAAATCTGCATGTTCCGTCAGTATATATGCACTTGCGTGCAGAGAAATCGAACTGACTAAAGAGTTAAGGAAGCTAATTTAAGATATGAGCATAGTATCCACTAGATCGGAAAGATAACTTACCCCATGGCGGTATATACACCATAGAATACGGGGACGACTAGAGTCGAGTCGTAAACCTTCAGACCGCGGTTGAGGCAAATGATCTGCGACACCGCGGTCACGGCAAGGAGTAAGAAGGTGAATATCGACGACGCTTGGCCAAATTGGTTGCCTGTATTCATGTGCGACGCCGCTCCGGAGATGAGAGCAACCCTGAAAGGGTGTTAAAGCATGTGTGTGGCGGTAATCAAGGTACATACCCAGCCTTTGCAAACACAAGACAACCTCCAGCAAGTGCTCCACCGAGGCACGCCCACCCAATTCCCAGCGTCCACGCGATACGCTTGTCATCATGAGAAGATGTCCAAGACTCGAGGTAGCCGCGGATGATGTGCATAGCCCGAGTGTACATATTCGCGACCCTGCGCAAGATATTTTTGGGCGGAGGTCCTTTGGTGGGCGACTCCATGTCGAATGGTACGGCGCTGAGGTCGGCACGAGACGCAAGCACAGCGTCCAATTGCGAGATGAAGATGGAGAGAGCGATGAGGGCGAAAGATAGCAAGAAGAAGTATGCCAGCCAGTTGCCCCGGTTCCAGAGGTGTGTCAGATGATGTGCGTCAGTTTCTGTGTTGAACCCGCTGTTAATGGAGCCAAAGGCGACGATGCCAATGACACCAATGATTACAATGATTGTGCCCTAGAAGCATAGTGTGAGACATTAAAGAGTAGTAAAACATCCGCTTACGCACGTAAATATCATTATTCGTGACGGGAGAATTAACCAGGAATTTAGCGAATAGAAAATTGAAGATGAGTGAGGTAGACCCCAAGGGTGCAACGTATTCTATCAAAAGGGGTCAGAATGAGACCTCAAGAAGTCGTATGATGCGAACCTGCACGCATATACTCCAGCGCAAGTGTACTCCCGATGAGCTGCGAGAGACTGCGCCAGTGCTGTCAAGCTTGACTCCGCCAAAGCATTTGTTGTTACGCACACGTATAATACCATGCCCAGCAGCCATAATGGTCTAAGCCAGTCTTTTCTCCGCGATGCTTTAGGAATTGCACTTGTTCGCACCTGCAGTGCCACACAGCATCGCTTGTTCAGCGTCACAGCTTTCAAGAAGGGGGTCTACATACATGATCTAGCTTCGTGAGATTCAATCCCGCAGCATTCATGATGGATGCAAGAGTGACAATGCCGAGACCAATAATGAACGCTACGACGGGACTAGCATGGTGTGCAGGGACATTGTCGAGAGAATGGTGCGACGATGGCAGTGGAGCAGACGACGGAAGGCTTGAGGATGACGCCGAAAGTACGGACGAGTTCATAGCATCGACGTTGCGAGAAATATTCCCTGAAGTGGTCGGAGGCAGAAGAAAGAACGTGGATGGTGTTGGAGACGACGACGACGACGATCAAACCTGTTTGCGGAGACCGAGGTACGCGAGCCGCATCGTGTAAGCGCCATAACTTGCTGACGTTGCCAGTATGACGCACTCTGGTCCCACTCCACGTCGGCCGACCTAATTTAGCAGGTCTCCAGATTCCGAGCCAGGGTGGCGAAATTCGTTGGCTGCGACCGCGCGGTAGCTACTCGTGCGAACTGAGTCGGCCGACAAGCTCGTAAAAATTACGTCCCGGATAGTCCGTGCCATCGAAGGCAGAACAGGAATACCCGTAAGCAGTCATCGTAGTGATACATGCTCGTAGGGACGCTCGACTTCAAGTTCAGCCGGCGGATATCATATTGGTCACGACCAGTTGATAACTGAATAGGACTTCGAGGGTCGAATAGTACCCCTATCCGCGATATCACCCGTGAGGATGAACTGCAGGGGCAAGAAGCTTGGACGGATGTTGCCGTAAGCAATTTGCCCGGCCGCATCATTCAGCAAGGCAGTCACGTACCTCGTTAAATTAAAAATTACCATATGCACACCGAGACTGGAAGTATCATGGAAGATTCACGGGTTCTGTCTGTGTGAAGCTGGTTGTCGTTGGCTGCCATTCCTATGCTCCGCGGGATTAAGAGTGTCTTGTAGCTGCCAAATCGCCGCTTGTTGAGTCCGCCCCCGTGTTTCAGCTATCCTCGCGAGGCTCTAAGGCTATGACCACATCTGGTAGATGTAACTCAGCGGCGACAAGTCGTGCCGCGTATCACAGCGATACCGTCGATCTGTGAGTACCTGGAGCGGCAATTTAGTATCAGGACTTCACTCATCCACACCGGTATGTCCACACTGTCTCAACATGCAGGTGGAGTTCGACGTCACAGTGGAAGGTACTAAGCTACCGTGCCAATTTGACTGTCTGTGCAGTGAATCACCGGCCATCCGTAGCAGGCTCCGAAAGCGGGGGCTGAGGATCCCAAAGGACAAATAGATGCTGTCCCGTGGGTCCCATCTTGTTACTGGCGATCCCTATTTCAACAAGATGAGGTGTACAAGATGAAATTGAACATCGCCTGGAAGGTGGTCAATGTATTCAGCGGCCATACGTAGCACTGCCTCCCCCTCGTGGCAATGTCGTACTGTGCTGGAGTGTATCTGTAGCTTCGTTTGAAATGTATTCTGCGACTTATCACGAGACTGCCCCTCGCCTGTGGTGTACCATTCCCTCTGCCACAGCTACTTGTAGGCCTCTGCAGGGAGTGCAGCGCCGAAGCGAGCATCGTGCTAGTGCTCGTTTACATCCCGGACTGCCATTATTTACTGGTTTGACGGACCCTGTGAGCATTCCTTAGTTCTCCCCTAACATTGTACATTGTTCGCAAAACACGAGTGCTCGGACGATGGGTGGTCCTCCCACGCTGGAGACGCTTTTGCAGTCCTAAGAGCCGCCTGTCCTCGAAAATAGCCGATCATAACAAACTAGCCGATCATAACCCTCCGTACCTTGTCTGGTGGCGAAAACTGCTTCAGTTAGCAAAATGTTCCACAGCCTGTGTATACCCGCACAATCTGTCAAAAAGGGCTTGAAATTTTGCTGGAAGAATGCTTGACCTTTTGTGACGAGAATCACCGCACGTCGGGTCCTTCTTGCGGGAGTTAACCACGCGCAGGACCGCGCGACCATTCATACGCCATATGTCACCCACGAGGCTCCCTGAAGACATACAGTTGGATATGATTAATTGAAGCTCGAAGACAAACATGGCGATAACAACATACCGTCTAATCAAAGCTGAGGCAGCATCTCCCAGCTGCAATACGAACTTTCCACATGGGACACGGTCTCTCGCCATATCTCCATTGGCCGCTCTCGCAACATTTGACATGAACCCTGAGATTTCAAAACATGTCTTTCTTCCTGATTAGCGAAGTCACGCTGATGAACGGAGTGTAGTGGGTGGAGGAGACAAGGACAAGCACCGCACTGGCTGGGAAAAGACGAACCTTGGCGGAATGTAGGGCGCCGGGGAGGACTCCTTCGAGCGTATAAAAGGGCATCGTGAGCCAGCCTTGAAGACCAGGTCGAGCCAGCCCTCTCGCAGCCAGCCCTCGTTCAGCCCACTCTCCCAACAAGCATAGCCAGAATGCTGTCTCGCCCCGCCTCGTTCCTCTACGCCTTCTGCTCCCTCGCCATTCTCGTGGCCGCCGCCCCTAACCCCGAGAACGACAAGCGCCAGTTGGGTCTGCCCACTATCCTCCCTTCTGGTATCCTTCCCTCCGGCATCCTTCCCTCTGGCATCCTTCCCTCCGGCATCCTCCCTTCCGGCATCCTGCCAACCTCGACTACCCCCGCTGGTATTCTCCCTTCTGGCATTCTCCCCTCCGGAATTCTTCCCTCCGGCATCCTCCCCTCTGGTATCCTCCCCTCCGGTATCCTCCCCTCCGGCATCCTGCCAACCTCGACTACCCCCGCTGGTATTCTCCCTTCTGGCATTCTCCCCTCTGGAATTCTCCCCTCCGGAATTCTTCCCTCTGGCATTCTCCCAACGGGCATCATCCCCACCATCACCATACCCTCGTTGCCACTCCCCACCGACACCGACGGTCAGTGTTCCACGGGCTCCATCCAATGCTGCCAGAATGTCGTGCCCGTAAGTGCAACCCGCATGGATTGTTAGGAATGAAATCACTGACTGTACACGCAACGAAACAGGGCGACTCTGACTTGGGCACTCTTCTGCTCGATGAGCTCGGCATTGTCCTCGAGGACCCAACCGTGCTAATCGGCGACGGCTGCGACCCCATTACCGTCGCCGGCTCTAGCGATGCTTGCTCTGCCACGGCCGTCTGCTGCTCGGATAACAACGTGGTGAGTAGCATACCGATGCATGGAGTTTGGCGTGTGGCGGCTCATTGATTGCATGATCCAGAGCGGCGTAATTGCCATCGGCTGCCTTCCTGTCACGTTGTAAATTCAACGATTGCCTGTCTGTGTCGTGAGTGTAAGAAATCACGAATACGATTGTTGCTTCGACTCACTGTACCGCAGGAACTAAGCCCATAAATCATGGAGCGGCGAGTCTGCTCCACCGCTAGTGACTGCTTGTCCCGTACGAAGTGCCCGAAGTCCAGTCTGTAGTAACCGTGAAATACATGTCTTGAGTGTCTCCTGATGGCTGAAGTCGCTGCGGGGTCCGGAACGTAACACAGATTCAGCTTGGTCACCGAGCATGCAATAATCGCCGTCTGACTTCTTTCAGATGTGGGCAAGATAACGGCTCCAAGTGCTGCTCGGAAGCGTATACATGCACCCACAACATTCAACCTGCATCAACAGTTTGCCGTTGGCGATGCGCTGATCGGCGTGGAGCGCATTATTATGACTAGAAAACGACACTGCTCCTGACCTGCCCAGCGTCATGAGTTCATCAGCGAACCGCTGGTAGCTCCACAGCTCAGGGCACTAGTACTTACACCGTGATATACACTCATCGTAAGAATGCGCCTTGTCGTTCTCCGCCTGGTCTGTATCCGCGCGACTCTGTCACCGTCGCCGATTCGTTGCCCTAGGTGATTGAAATCTGAGAGATAAAGATCCATGATCAAGATGTTACACAGCTGCACGGATGAGACTGTGGTGACAGTATCTGGGAGATATTGAACATCACGCGGGCGCGATTTCGGTCATTCGAGAATCTGATCGTTGAGCGTTGGTTTTTGTCTGACCATGTCATACAAGTCTCAAGATACTCCGCATCCGAGAATCTGACCATATTCTCTACACCCAAGAATCGTGAGTCCGCCCGTCAGAAATTCTGCGCCTAAGACTTGTGCAAATGAGTTTTTGTGCTCGCAGCACTGAACTGTGGGGAACTAGGCATGTCACTTCAGAGGCTCTTCACCACGACGCGAGCACATGTGTACGCGAGCTTGACAGCCGTGTCGATTTCAACCTACGTCCATGCCCGCCAGTGTCCTGAGTGTATCGAACGCGTCTTTATGTCGAAACCGCGCAAATCCACCCTTGCCTCCTTCATCGCCCCCCGAGTATGATCGGCCCACCAATCGTGTTTCGGTTCTGCCTCTACGCA